CTTGAAAAAAATACAATATTTTTCTGGTATTTTCTTTTGATTTGCAGCAGAAATTCTTTCTTGCAAAACAAAACCTGATTACTCTGAAACCTGTCCAATCTCAACTCTAAAACTAAACAAAGAATTTTTTATTGACAAGTTTCTTAATGGAATGTAACACTGTACAATTAATGACCTTTGATGAAATTGATAAAAGGTTTTATTAACCACGGCACAGAAACTGTTTGAGGCCCATCAGAGGTTATTAATTCACATTGTTAAATTTTGCAGAACATGCACGCTGGTTAGGATAAAAATTACATTTATCTTTTCCCCAAAAGCACACCAACCTTTCTTGAAAATGTTGTGTAAAGTCGTTACATTCACATTGGGAATGAATCAGTTCCATGTGTAAGGTAAAAGATAAACTTATTTCTGTATATTTATATATGTGGGAAAACACTTTCACTAATGGTGAAACACACATATAACTTGTGAACCACTTCAACATTGCTATTTTTCCCATGTTGATATTAATGTGTGCAAGTCACCACAAAGACATATAGCAACAAGACATAAATCAATTAATGCCACATACAACACTATATAATATTCAAACGCCCGTAAATTTCATCTGACAGATATTAACCAAAGTCTATATCTATAAAGGTGTTACAGGTGTAATCTTTACCAACACACATACTTTCAAATTTACAACACTATTTGTAATGACACAACATTAAAAGATTAATATTATCACACCCATGATCATTTATAGATAATGCCTTTACACTTTCCAGTTAATTGCGTATCATTCTTTGACAACCAGTCACCATTTGTAAATCATTCAAAATTAAATCAGGTTTAAGACACTTTCCCTTAAGATTAAAGTATTACCACTTATGTTAAAAGTTTAAGTGACAATGCATGCTTTGCGAGTCAAATTACGCATATCGTGAAATTTCAACATAGAAAGCATTTAAATAAACATAATAAGTCATATTGCTTTACACAAGATTTAAGTACAAAACCAGCTATAATTTATTTACATAAATTCATTTAACAAAGAAAAACATCCCTATGACAACTACAATAAGAGAGCCATCCATTTTATTTCACAAGTGTCAAATTTCACTATAGAACAAGTTTTTTTCCTTCTATTTTCTCACAACTGAATAACCTATTTCTCTCACAACTGAATAACCTATTTCTTTCACTTTATACCTATAAAGTTATCTAGTTAACATGGAATCACATTCCTCACCAGTCTGACCCCAACAGTCAACAATGACCAGCCATGTGCCATCACAAAACAGGACATTTATAGGTACTTAACATGTCATCTGCATTTCCGCAGTGCTTGACACCTGTACGACCAAAGGGGAGTGGTCTATGCTGGGGGTATCGTACCTGTACACCTGGAAACTCAGGTGCAATGTCTTACCTTCAGATCTGGGTACATGCACTTTGTAGATATGACTGTGCTTTTGTGTGGATAAGTAGACGAGATCAGTTTATGTAGCAATAATGAAGTTCGAGATGATCTTTGAAAGGAAACGATTATCCAAGGTTCTTTGTAAAGAATAGTATTGAAATGTCTTTACAAATCATGGCAGAACAGTGTATTGAAAAAGTGAGAGAAAGTTTCTCCGAGACGCCGACTGTCTTGAAAACATCACTAGTTCTAGGTGACAGTTTAGATGGAGAAATTTATAAAGAAGTGCTTGTGTACTTTAAAACCTGTCTTCTTCAATGTTTATCCTATATTGTCAAGGGCAGGAAGATAAATGGTCTTCCCAAATCTCATCAAAGGTGGAGATTTTCCAACACATCTGTCTTTCCTAATGCCTTTTGGTGAAAAATCCTCAACCAGCGCAACATTTTAAGTTCATATCTCTTGAGTTGGTAGTTCCAATTGACCCCATGACAGAAATAATCTCAAAACGAATGAAAAGGATACAAAAATATACAAAATAATAAAGAACAAGAGAAACAGAAATAAGAAGAAACAGTGACAGAAATGCAAATTCGATCTGCCACTCTGTCATAGATGTGGAAAATTTGGCAAATAACCAGAAGAAGATGACATTGCCTCGTAAACAGTGTTCTTTGGATTATTTACGGATAAGTAAACGTGTGAACCCCACGGGGCAGGGATTGTCCCAATACACATGTGTATAGTGTGACAACGTGCACATAGCTTATGATAACCCTGTAGCTACCATTTCCTTTTTAATGTGTCCTCTCCTCTTACACAGTGAACAATGAGAGAGACTTGTTTACCTCGGAAGCTGTTGAGGGTGCGTATCATACCAACAGTATGTCAACCAGATCTGTGACTACTAGTTTCAGAGAGAGGGTGTGACTGTACTGACTGACATCCTGCACTTTCAATGGATGTGGACACTGTCTAGTTTATCTTCCAGCGATATATAATTTGGAGGTCACTCCTGGGTATTGGGGCCTGAAATACATTTGTACATTTGATTTGTTTTGCAAACCAAGACTAGTGAATTTTTAAACCTCCCAAACAGAATAAGATTTGTGTTTGGAGTTGGTTGGGGGGAGGGGGGAGTTTTATACCTCCAAAAGCTTATTTTCATAACTCTAGGATTTGAGAGTAGAAATAAAAAAAAAAATTAAAAATAATCCCTGCCCCGTCAATCCCTCCCCATCCATGTTGTCACTCCATCCATCTCCCATGATCAAATTAAAAAGCAACAAAATATTGTGCATGATTATTACACTTAGTTCACTTTTGTCCTTTAACATGCATGACTTCATTTCCTTATATGAAGAGGTCAATAAGTATACATATATTCTTCTACCCAGAATATGTAAACATTTAACTATATACACATAAGGTTTGCTTAAAGGGATCATCTTTACATCAATATGTCTTAACTTCAACTGGATTTTGAAAATGGCATTTTCATAATATTAAATAATCCTTGAATTTCTATAAGTACACAAATTGTTTTTAATCAATTCTTTTTTATTAAAATTGACAAGCGAAAATCAACAACCAATTTTAATATAGATTTTACAAAAAAACATCAATAAATTAAATAAATGATAAAACAAATAAATGTTAACACCACAGGGACAGTTGACATGTGGAGGAATTATACAGCATCAATCTATCACCAAGTCCTACCAGTTATAACTATATATACAAAATATTCATTGGAAAATACTGAAGGGGATACAGGTTGCCCCCTTATGTCACCAGAACACTGACATTTGTCTGTGAGACGATACCCGGACATGGGAGGAGTCATGAAGACGGAAAACCTGTCAGTCAATCAATCAGAAAAATTCATTGCAATTTTCATTTACATTGATATATATCTGAGGTCTGAGATCTTTGTGGCAGCTGTCTGTTCATAATGCTTTCTTAACCACCATCTTAGTTTTACCAACGAATGTCTTAAATCTTTAAAACAAAAATGCTAAGTTTTCCAGATGAAATTTATGTACAAGCATGATCTGAAGGCTTTACATAAACGTTTACACTAGAGGGAATGCCTACTAAGACAAATTCGCTATCTCAGATCTTCACATAAAATCAAACAAGGTCTTAAGATGGTTTTTCTAAAAGACAAACTATCTGACATCTTAACACAAATTGCCTGAAGTCTTAAGGAAGCCTTTCTGAAGTCTTTAGAGCGAAATGAAAAACTAAAAGAAATCTTATAAGATAACTTGTATGAAGCCTTAAGATAAACTTACTGCAGTCTTTAACATAAATTATCTTATATCTTCAAAACAACTTGTTGTAGGCGTTCAGATAAACATTCTGAAGTCGATAAACTCTTTAAGTCCCTACCTATCTGAGATCATTCTTAAGACAAACTATCAGAGATCTTAAGACAGACTGAGGTTCTGTAGATTAAATGTACTATGTGACATATAGCCGTCAGCAGATCTCAGGTGCTCTTCTCTGATCACTTACAGCTTTCCTAACAATTTCTCTAAAAATGCCAACAGTAATTAAGATGATAGTTACATACACTGGCTACTCCAGCCAATTAGAAGTCTTTTGTACATTTGCCTTCCTTACTCTATAAATACTTTTCCTCTTATGTCTGGGTGCTAACTCCCGCTAGGGGGATAACATGCTGGTATTTTTGCTTCAGTTTTATCATGTTGATGTTAGAAAATGTCACACTTGCCAGACATCGCTCTCCCTCAGTCAATATCTGTATCATACTTATCACAGAGTAAGAAGTTCAAACTGTTTGGTCACAATAGCATATTTATAGTCAAACACAATGTTTAACTAAATAAATGGTAAAACATTGCTATGTAGACTGTCATATCTCTTTTAAATAAAGTTTTCTTCCACTACAATAATTTGTCAGTAAATTGATGCCCATATTGATAGAGAAACTACGTTATAATGCCACCATTTAAACCCTGTCATACTGCCACCATTTAAACCTTGTTACTATGCCACCATTTAAACCCTGTCATATTGCCATCGTTCAAACCTTGTCATACTGCCACCATTCAAACCTTGTTATACTGCCACCATTCAAAACTTCTTATAATGACACCACTTAAACCTTCTTATAGTGCGACCATTCTGACCTTGTTATACTGCCACCATTCAAAACTTCTTATAATGACACCACTTAAACCTTCTTATAGTGCGAGCATTCTGACCTTGTTATACTGCTTCCATTCAAACCTTGTTTTACTGCCACTAATCAAATCTTGTTATACTGCCATCATTCTAACCTTGTTATTTTAGAACCACTCAAACCTTGTTACACTGTCACCACTCAGACCTAGTTATGCCGCCACAACTCAAACTTTGTTATACTTTCATTACTTAAACTATGCCACCATTTTGACATGTTATACTACATTCATTTAGAGGCACATCAAAAAGTTTTCTGGCATCCTTGGTGTACCTTACCAATCTCAACAAGATTTCAAATGGACTCTACATTAAATGACCTGACATTACAACATCATCCCCATCAACTGCACAATGACAACAAGCTGATACCCACCTTGCCATCTGGTCTCCGTGGTGGTGATTGTGAATCCTCACTCTCCTCCTTGATTGGCGAATTAGGAACAAGCTCCGCCCCGCTGATTGGGGAAAGAGCGGGATTAGAAAGGGATAAGTCTCCATTAAGTTGAGCCTGTTTGATCCTCTTTTTCAGGGCAAACATTTGTCCCACAGATGTTGGTCCACTGACACCAGAAGGTCGCGAGGAGAATGCTGATCGTATCTGACTAAGTTTGATAAGTGACATTTGTTTTTGTTCGGCTGTTTGATTTTTTGGCACTGTCTTGGTGAATGCACTCACCCCCTCCTCCCCAATTACTGGCGAGTGGTTTGGCGACACACTCAGTGAGGGACGGGAGTATGGAGACCCCCGCGAGTCCGGGCTCAAATCTGATGAAGACATTTCAGGGCTTGGAGCCTCAAGTTTGATTTGGAAGTTATTTGGCACAACACACAGTCCTGACATTGCCATGGGCGACTCATACATTCCTACATCTTTCTCATGTTTAATCCTCCGTTTAATTTTGAAAGGTGGTTCCTCCATGGAGGAATCTTCCTCCATCACTGGAGAGCTCTCTGTGGAATTCCGCACTGAATTTTCATGGCTACAGTTGTTGTTATGCCGGGTATTGTTTAATACTGGAGAAGTGTCCTCTGTCATTTTACTCAGCTGAAAATACAAAAACAATCGATCAAAACCTTCATCGGAGAACAGAATTATTATTTCTAAGGAAATCTACAATCAAAATGACATGAAAAACTTATTTTCAAATAGTTCTTTTTTTACCACAAAAAAGTTGAAAGGATGCTATTGCAAAACTTTGGTCTGATTTTGTCATTGAGAAAGTTTACTGCTTAGTTTCTGCGATAAAATCAAAATCTCATCATCTCTGCAACAAATTCATCATCATCAGCAGCAGCATACTTGTGACAATTTCACGTTGTGGCAATAATATTTGGCAACATTTGTTTAAATAAACACCAAAATGTTATGCCAACAGCTGGAGTATCTTCCACAAAACGATATACAAACTCTCTTCTGAAGAATATGGTTCACCATGCTCCCTGATTTACACTTTTGAAGCATACACCCGACAACACACTGTACAAGCGATTTTTTCATAATCTGTAATCCCATTTATGAACAAAAAACATTTTTCTTTTCACACACAAAGTATATTTATTTAAGGCTGCTCCAGAAAAAACCAGATATACTAACTGGGCTATTGAAGAAACCCCAAATAAAAAATTACCTCCTAATCTGTTTTTACTTAATTGATAATTCAAGGTATCATTTTTTTCTCCACAAAAGATTCAATTTTCACTTAAAAGTTTTCTCAAATAAAAATTTTGAAGAAAAAAAAAAAAGAAAATTACAAACATATATACATATCGTAGAAAATATTTTGTGTACGTATTACTTTCACAATATTTCAATATAACAAACAAATACATTGCTAATAAACATTGTCATAAACAACAATAAACATCAATGTAAAAGCTGCTTCATTACATCATTACGTTATGACCAGTATCAACTGCTTCAGTATAATGACAGGTCAAAAGGTCAGCCATTATCATTGCTCAGCTGGAACATTAACATCCGTCGTTCACACTCTGTATACATTTTACAGAAGTTATCAGTAACTTTCCTTTTAAGTAAAATCCAAGTTTATCATTAATACATACATTACTCATTGTGTCTAGTTTCCATAAAATCAATTCCAGAATTTCACGCTTTCTGGAAAGTATTCTCAACAGTCCTGATGATATTCATGTCCTAAAGAAGTTTGCTCCATTGAATTATCCCGTATGAAAATTAAATAATTACACCCCAGGAAAATTCCGAAGGGGAGTGGAAACACCTTTCCTTCAGAAGCTGACATTGTCCAGTCATTATATGTATGTACTACACTGGTTACAGGGTTTCCTTTATCTGCTATCATCCGCTAACAGCTGAAATCCTGAAAATTAAATCTGTCGCCCAGATCTCTGTTTATCTCCTGATAACACAATGATGACCTACCTGTGTTCACCTGTCCTACCTCTGTATCGCTTACCCTCACTGACCACTGGTCAGTGACTTTATAAATACCCAAAATAGCATCAGAATTAGTGCCTGTCTTGACTGGGGGATATACATTGTGGTCATTCACACTTCAAAGTTACAAAGAATTTGATTAAAAGCATAATAGAACCCATAGCGGATAAAACTCTACCTTAAGCCCTGTGGTCAGTAGATGTAGTGGTCAGTCTTCGTCACCTGGTATGTATTAAGTCCTCTAGGTGTGGTCATTGAGATGACCCCAGGCAGAATTTACAGTTATATGTTGTATGTGATGGAAGCTGATCTGTACACAGACACACAACATACACACCCTTCAATACACACTGCTTCACACGTATAGCCTCTGACATACAAACACACTTACCATGCAAATTAACTCATATCATCCAACATTACATGACGTAATAGTTCTTTCAGTTTCTAGCCTGAGTATTTCAACCCCCGTACTGGCTAACAATTTTTTTCTGATGTTGAAGTCACTCCCCACTTTCAGTTTGAAGCTACTGTTGCTGGCATTCCATCAAGTGTTGTCACCCCCACTACAATCACGCACACACGCACATACAGGACTGCCGTTCCATCACTAGACGCCCTGCCCACCAGACCACTCCCTGTCTACGCCCCGAGGTATCGTGTTGCTGGTTCATGTCAGTCTATAATAATCTGACAGTGGGAGCTGGTACACTGACCTTCACCACCGACTACCGAGCTCACCCTATCAGCGTATCCTACTAATGCAACCTTTGTACAGACAAACCGGCACACGCAACATGCTTGTACTTTATATAAGTGGGTATAATATGGTTGTAAATATCAGATGACCCAGCCTTGTTCACCCCCTTTGTGTACCCCTAAACTTCCATGCCCTCTATACCTCCTGCTGTCAACAAAATATCCTGTTTTTCACTCCATCTCTGCCAATTTCCCATCTGTCTGCTGTTATCAAACATCATTTCCCAATCCTATACCCCTCCATCTCTGCATTTTCTGCCCCTCCATCTCTTTCCTGCCTCTTTTCCTCTCCTCTCTGCCCTTTCCTGCCTGTAACTTTCTATCTTCAGCTCTGGTCAGGTATTCTGCCACTATCCTCATCTACTGTCCTTTAGTCTAACCTTAGAACAAGTTCGTCCTATATCTTGTATCCTGCCACTTTGCCCTCACCTTATATTTTGTCTTATATTCTGTAATTTTTCCCTCATCCTATACCTTGTCTTATATTCTGTAATTTTCCCCTCATCCTATACCTTGTCTTGTATTCTGTCTCTATACCTTGTCTTGTATTCTGTAATTTTCCCCTCATCCTATACCTTGTCTTGTATTCTGTAATTTTCCCCTCATCCTATACCTTGTCTTGTATTCTGTAATTTTCCCCTTATCCTATACCTTGTCTTGTATTCTGTCTCTATACCTTGTCTTATATTCTGTAATTTTTCCCTCATCCTATACCTTGTCTTATATTCTGTAATTTTTCCCTCATCCTATACCTTGTCTTGTATTCTGTCTCTATACCTTGTCTTGTATTCTGTAATTTTCCCCTCATCCTATACCTTGTCTTGTATTCTGTAATTTTCCCCTCATCCTATACCTTGTCTTGTATTCTGTAATTTTCCCCTCATCCTATACCTTGTCTTGTATTCTGTAATTTTCCCCTCATCCTATACCTTGTCTTGTATTCTGTCTCTATACCTTGTCTTGTATTCTGTAATTTTCCCCTCATCCTATACCTTGTCTTATATTCTGTCTCTATACCTTGTCTTGTATTCTGTCTCTATACCTTGTCTTGTATTCTGTCTCTATACCTTGTCTTGTATTCTGTCTCTATACCTTGTCTTGTATTCTGTAATTTTCCCCTCATCCTATACCTTGTCTTATATTCTGTGATTTTCCCCTCATCCTATACCTTGTCTTGTATTCTGTAATTTTCCCCTCATCCTATACCTTGTCTTGTATTCTGTAATTTTCCCCTCATCCTATACCTTGTCTTGTATTCTGTATTCTGTAATTTTCCCCTCATCTATACCTTGTCTTGTATTCTGTAATTTTCCCCTCATCCTATACCTTGTCTTGTATTCTGTAATTTTCCCCTCATCCTATACCTTGTCTTGTATTCTGTAATTTTCCCCTCACTCTATATCTTGTATTCTGCCCTGTATTTCCTCATACCTCACATACTGGCCTTTAGTCTAACCCTAGAACAGGTTCACCCTATATCTTGTGTGGATGTAGTTTACTTGTCAACGTCATAGCTTTTTCAGTCAGTACATTGTAATTGTATGCAATGAGAAATGGACACTTTCCCATCATAAAACTGTACCATACCACATATTTTCAGCTCTCAGGCCCTGTACACTTGGGCTTTTTTTACCGTATAAATCACTGCCTCGTTTGGTCCAAGCTCTGGAAAGTTGGTAGCTTCCTGTGACAGCGCAATCCATTACCATCCGCCTGTGTGCCTTAGGGTTAAAGTGGGTGTGTCACCCTGGTCTGTCTATATACCGCCTCACCTTAGCATGGCTACAGGCTAGTTAGTATTGATCACTGCCACACCTGAGCAGCTAATTAGAACCTTCCACTTGACATCTATCAAAACACTTGCAGGTACATTGGCAGAATAATTCCGAAAGCTTCTGAGTTTAATTATAGTAATTTCAGGCTTAATCAGGTATATACGTAAAATCTATGGCATGCCTTGAAGATGCAGAATGGCTAGAGTTTTGTTGTGTACTACAAACAAAAGGTTAGCAGTCAGTTCATAAAGTCGCTGGTCTGTGTTGTTTATCTCTGATCTGTAAAGAGTACTGTCGAGCCTGATTGATCCGACTCCCACACTGCAATCACCACGGAATTAGAGAGCAGATCGGAAAACAGAACTGACGAACCAAACATTACACAAAACAGAGTGAAACTGGTTTCATTTTTATGACATCACCATTATGTTATTATCAATAGGAAAGGACCAAATCAATTTCAATTCCAATCCCATATAACCATTCCATTAGTTTACAGATTTGAGAGAAAAAATTCATTTTTCAAAGAACTGTCAAAACTTAACCAATATCAGGGATAATTCTTGGTCATTGATTTTATAGGGGAAAAAAATTGGGGTTTTGAAGAAAGCAGATTGGACCTTCCTATACAATGTAGTATATTCTGAGAATTTCAAAAAGATTTTCAGCAAAAACATGAGTAACATCACAATACTACATAAAAAAGCAAGGTGCTGAAACTATATTACTTCTAAACTGAAAATATCACAGCACTGCATCAAAATAGTTCAGTCCTAGAACTGAGACTTCAGTGCTACAATAAAAGGCATTTCACCAAACTCCAGGACAAAAACAAATTTTATGTGGTTATAGTGCAGACTTCCCAGCCAAGACCAGTGTACTATTTTTAACATTTCCTCGTGTTGTTTTCAACTGCACACTAATTTCACTGCAATTTTTGAGTTAAAATGATTTTATTTAACAGCAAATCTCAAACAAGAGCCAAACGAAAGACCACACAAGAGACTTTAGCAATGTGTGTTTATCTATATTTGTGTCCATCACAGTCTTTGTTTTTTAAAGACATTCATTTTTGTGTATGGTTGTATCACTTTC